TTCAAAGCCATCGATCCAGTTACAATTGCCGACATTGGATTTATTTGATTGTGTGTACAAGCGTGTTAGAATGACGTCACTGTGCTAGGGGGTTCTAATATTTAAATTTATCGCTAGTATACGTGTTATGTCAATACATTATTCATTAAATTGAATAAATATTTGCTAACAGAAGAAGAACATGTGATTTTATGCGATATTTTTAGTTGTCAGAACTTAGTCTAGTTAGCAAAATAAAGTAAATGTTTGTGACCAGCGTGTTCGTTCAAGGTTGTGCTTTGTTTTAACACAGGCATTTGATATCTGTAGAAAATAATACTTACTACAAAATAAAGCGAACTTTATAAAATAAAAAGCAGTTGTTAATTATTTTTACTCTTATTGAATTTGTAAATATTTAGACAATTACATTAATATACGATTCGTAATTAATAGTGAGTAACAACACTCAAATTTTCACACCAACAGAGATGTAATAATGTATATTATAGGCTATCCAAAAAGATGACTGTTGTAGTAAATATTTGTATTGCTATGTACGTTTTTAGTTTAGCAGTCTTAGTATGAACTAACACCAGCGGCGACTCAATGTGCGTTTGTCACAAGCTCAAATCCGGTGTGCAAGTTCATAAAAAAACTAAGTTGCGCGCGACTTGATTTTAGACTTCAACACCAATGTTTTCACTAAACATTACAAATGACATACATAATCGTACTGCGACTCACACTTTCTAGGAACTGCAGGCCAACAATTGAGTACAAGTTATGTATCCTCAAGAGAAAATGGTCCTGTATAAGACACACACGCAGCAAGCCACAAACAAGCATCACACAGCAGGCCCTAACCTGGAACCCACAGGGCAAGCGAAAGAGAAGAAGGCCTAAGAACAGCTGGGGAAGGGAATGTATATATAGTATACATTAATCATTCTATTAATTACATAGTCAAAGTGATTGAAACTAGTTACTGCATTTCTTTATTCACACTTGCCAGAGACTAATGTTAAAATTCCATCTCTGTCCAGCGATTGTAGTATCGAGTACTCCTGTTTAAAGTTATGCCCTGTGTCAAAGTCATCTAAAGTTTTGCTTTTCATCTCTCCGAAATAGTGATACGGTATCGTCCTGCCGTCTGGCCCTATACTGAAAGGATAAAATCCATATACACTGATTTTCTCACAGAGACAGAATGCTTCAGCAATTGCGACCATACCTGCTGTTGGGGCTTTAATTTCATTCACAGAACTGCAATTAAAATAAAAGCAAATGTCAATAACTTTGTGAACTACATTTTGTTTTAGTTTTTCTGTTTAATTAATTGTGTAGTATTTAATGTTTATTATGTAGTATTTGTGCATACCATCCTGCAATATGCTGTAAATTTCATGAACTTGCTGTATTGCTATATTACCGTCCGTCATAATAATTCGAATGAGAAACGAGTTGTTATAAATCCCGAAATACAATACTACTTGTAACAATCAGCAAACGCAATTCAAATATAGCAAAATATTGAAAGCCGAAATGATCGTCGATCATGAACTAGTTCTTATATCATGAATGATTCTTGAGTACAACTTTTATTAGCATGAATATAGCGGTATATATTATTAAACAAGGCTTTGCGTCACTCAATATTGTAAATTTTACATGTTGACCATTGTTAATTAGCACAACTTACTTTTTTAACACAGGACACTGTAGTTTCCCTTTCGTGTATACTAACGGAAAGTTTAGGTTGAACTTTGACTTTAGATACTTAATGGAATAGTCTAAACGACTCGTTCGCACAGTGTCAGTAGAACCACGACTCCATAATATCGAATTATTCAAAAAACGAAACTCCTCGTAAAGGTTAAGGGAGTCTTTATCTCTGTTCGCATGGTCAAATAAGTCGTAAACTCTAGGTGTATTCATGTTAGTAATGTTTGTCTTGGTTCCGACATCTCGGCTGTACTTCTCAATTTCCGGAATATTACAGCGGATGACGAAATCGTTGGAGTCGATCTCGTTTCCACAACAGCTATTGAGAAGAATCCCACTGTTACCAACAACTGCACATGTATTCTGCTTAGAAATAGGATGGGTTGAATCGTCTTCTTTTTTTATGACGAATGAACTTGACCTCGGTTCCAATCGTTTGCTGTAACAACAATTTAGCATGATTACATATAAATATACTGATATGTATTGACGTAAACATATTGATTAAACACTATAAAATTAAGACAGATTAAGAAGCGAAGGCACAATGTTATCAATCGTGTTTGATTGTGAGCTACAAAAACCTATTGACGCACCTTTCATTTATTACATTATCATCGGTATTTGTGTTGATGTCTTGCGTTTGAATAACATTTATTGTGGTACTTGAGATCTCCGTTGTTAGTTTTTCAATGATATTGGTAACATACGGAACCGAATTGTCTCCTAATTTTCTATTAATATAATATACGTGTTATTAAACATGTTTCGTAATACTTGCATACTTTGTGGTATGAAACATGTTTGATGCCTTGTACCTAAGATGCAGATTTATTTTTATTGAGAGGAATTTATTTCGTATTCTGTCCACAATGTAATGAATTAAGTGTGTTTGTAAAATTTAACTGTGATGAACTTCTCTAATAATGAGAAATTCTAACTACTATTTGCAATGCCATCATAATGGAATACCAATTATACAATTAAACACTGATTAAAAAAAATATTTTTTATAATATGAACAAGTGAGCATATCTCATAGCATTTTTATATACATTTATTCAAATATGTGTCAGCCACAACGCTAAATTATTATGATTTAATATACATGAACACAAGCAAAACAATAAAATATGTAATCTCAAATTGATACTTCAAATGGTAATAGTAATGTTAATTGGTGGACCAGTCACATTTATTTAAAATATTGGTTAAAATGAGATTGCTTGATTGAGTTTTTACATTGGTACATTTAAAATATATTTATAAGTGATGTACATCGACTTGTATCAGAATCAAACATTGCTTTTTCTTTATGAATATCGACGCTAATTATATATATTCATAAAAAATATGATTACCTTTCTATAAACTGCGAGCGGATTTCTCCCATTTGCCTGGTATCGACATGTAAGTTTGAATGTATAACGATGAACAGAACTAATGCCACTGCAATGAGCGAAACGAACAATCTTCTAATTATGAACTTCATAATGCGAGTGTACAATTACTGCATACAGTGAAGGTAAATGGTGCTGAACTGAATTGAAATCACTGTTCCAGGAAAAAAAAATATAATATAACTGCTGCCGTGATATGCAAATTGGAAATGCAAACTAAAAAACGCTGTGTATATACAACAATTACAATCATAATATCGGACAAATAATATAGGGTCGCGTTCTAATTGTTATTAAGGTAACTGCTCGAACAAACATAAACATTTTGTTCATTTCATACAATTTAATTGTTTTCGTCTGTCGTGGGCAAGTCCTACAAGTAACTGAAATATTTCTTCAAGTGAATTACCGTTTGTATATCAATTTGTTTACTTTTCTGTGCACTATAAATAAAACAGGATTATAGTTTGAAGATTTAATTTGTTTCAGTTTGCGAATCTAATAGTGAATCAACTACGCAATACCAGTATAACCAGTTGTGTGCGGCCTCTACGCCACAACGATAACTAATTCTCACAATAATGTTTGCAACGAGAAATAACATCAACAGATTATAACACACATAATTTTCATTATTATCAAAAGACACATCCGATTTTATAATTTATTTGCGTGTACTATACTTGTCATTATCTATAGCT